ATGAATATAATTTGGAAATGTATCTAATTATTAATTTTAATTCAAAAAAGGTAACATTTACCTAATTTTTTTTAAAACTTTTGAATTTATATAGTGCAATTTATTATGCAATTTTTATGTATTTTTTGGTGTACCTAAATATACAATTTTAATATTAAAATTTTTGTGTGTTTTCATTGCAATCAAATCCGGTCTTTAACTATAATATAGAGCATATGATGATTTCTATCGCACAATAATTTGTGTGGTCTATTAGTTATTTATAAATCATTATATTTTAATTATTATTACCAACTGGGGGGGGGGGGTAAAAAGGGCGCCAATATTTCTAGTACAGGCCTTGCATGGGTCACCCTAGTGTGTCAAAAATTCATTCTTATTTTTTTTAATTTTAATTTATTATTTTTAATAATTCATTTTTTATGATATTACCTATATTGTGAAATAGTTACATTTAATTACAAATACCTGTCACTAAATAGAGATTATTAATATGTTCTTTTTTTTATATAGTACTTTATTGATAAAAACAAAATAAAAAAAAAAGTCAAATAATAAGGGTTACAACTGGTATTTACCGAAACCGAAACCTAAAACGAAATTTGATATTTTTAAGAACAGATACTAGAACCGAAACCGAAATTTTGGGTTTTTGAGAACCGAAACCTAAACCCAAACCGATAAGGTCATAAAGGTTCCAGTCCCTGTAGTACAACACGTTTATCCTGTTTTTCTCTCCAAGAATTGTCAATAAATGCGTCTCTATGACTCTATTTGGATGGTAATTCAAATGGGAGCAAAACTTTTTTGTATAGGAGCAACTTATGCTTGAATTTCGTTTTTGCATACAACAAGCGAATAGTCATTTTTATTTATATATAGCGCACGGTTATCTAGATAACCCTGATATAGCCATCATATAGGGTTGTCATTGGTTATCGAAATAAAATTAAAAACAAAATTACTATACCTAGCCGAACTGCCATGCGTTGCTATGGGATTTCTTTTAAAACCTTTTGACGAGTATTGACGTACTTAGTAAGTACATTCTGTAGAGTAATGACGTATATTTACGTCAAGGCGTTGAATTATGGTTATGGTGTTTATCGAGTTTTAGTGATTGTAATTATTTTTGTACAGATTTTGAACACGTCATAATGAAATATGTGCTGCCATCTGACATCTAACTTTTCTAAAAATATTAACTAGATTAGATTATGAATATAATATATTATATGACAAATGTATATATTTATTACAATAATTATTTTTTTCGTATGTATAAGAAGTTGTCATATTAATTCACTCTGTGGGTGATAATTATGGTGATAATGGTAAAAATGTAAAATGATAATTCACTCGTCAAAGAGTTAAATAAGATAAAATAATATCCTATTTAGTATTTACTGTTTGTTATTCAAATGTACAACAAAAGGTAATGTCTATTGTCTGTACGTTTGTAGATTATAGGCTCAAAAACTACTTGACCAATTTTGATTTAAGTTTCAGAGATTGTTCTTAGAGATATCAGGAAAGTTTTGAGTATAGTTATGACTAGGTATGGTGGACTACCTATTTCATTCGAATTAGTACCTAAAACAAGGTACACCGATGAAAATATACTGGGTGATTCTTTTATCAAACAACACTCATTATTTCAAAAAGTGTAAATTTTTTTGAAGATATTTTTTACATAGTTTCAAGTTGCTTATAAAACAACGTTTTTATTAAAAAATTATATTTTTAATTATTTTTTATCCTTATAATTTTTTAAGTTTTTTACTTTTTTGAATGACAACATAGGGTTTTAATTTTATATTCTAAAGTAGAATATTTTTCTTAGTATTTTGATACATGAAAATTGAATTTGGGGCGAGTAGTTTATGAGTTATAAGTATTTAAAGTTTAGACGAGCGGTGAAGTGGACAAACATTTCGCGGGGTAACCCCGAACCACTCCACTCCGCTAGTCTAAACTTTAAATACTTATAACTCATAAACTACTCAACCCAAATTCGATTTTCATGTATCAAAATACTAAGAAAAATATTCTGCTTTGGAATATAAAATTAAAACCCTATGTTGTTATTCAAAAAAGTAAAAAACTTAAAAAATTAAAAGGATAAAAAATATTTAAAAATATTATTTTTTAATAAAAACGTTGTTTTATAAGCGACTTGAAACTATGTTAAAAAATATTTTCAAAAAAATTTACACTTTTTGAAATAATGAGTGTTGTTTGATAAAAGAATCACCCAGTATATTTATTGTAATAATAATTAATATGGTATGTTAAAGAAGATGGTATTAATTATTAGTGGTTATAGATAGGATTAATATTGTATTTTTATATATTCATAAAAATACAATTTGTTCTATGATTGTGATTGTGGTTTAATGGTTTATTATTATTATTATTATGTTAGTTCATATGGTTGACGATTTTATTGCTAATTTTCTTGATAGATGGCACTGAGCGTATCATAAATAATTTTAGATGCATTGTTATTACTTGCAGCTGTTTTGTTATCGAGAAACGATAATAATTTCAATGACTATGATTTATGAAAATACAATTATGTAGTAGAATAAAATTAAGTATTAACCATGAAGATGATTAGAGATCTCTAATCTTCATGGTATTAACCCAGTTAAAATATAGTTAATAGTATAGATAAATATAGATACAGATATTTAACCGGGCAAATTCGGCCGATTAAACCCCGATTTAACTTTAATCGAAGTTTAAAGTACCTAGTGGTGAAAGCGGCAATAATACATACTAACTTTTATCCAGAAGGTCAGCAGTGAGTGCGTGATAAAACCTGGTCAGTTTCACACTTTTACGTCGATTGATGCTGGTCTGAGAAAAATGTATTAAGATTATCGGAATTTAGCACTTATTATTGAATTTGAATTTGAAAATTATCGGTTGTTCCTTTTGAAGATATACCTATGTTCAACATAATAAACATCGCTCAGTATTAATGCTCAACCGTGGCTCTGTCTTGACCATAGATATACAGGGTGTATCTTATGTCATTGTACCCGGGTTTTTTTTAACGATTATAGAACGATGACATGGAATTTCGTTGAAACGAAAAAGTTTCTTAATTTTTAACAGGCAATTTTTTTATAACAATTTCAAAATTTTTAAACACAGGTGTGCCAATAGCGAAATCAACTTTATTTTTTCAAACGGTAACCACTATATTTTTTAATGGATTATTGCTTTTTTTTTCTGAAAATTTTGTTAGTCAAATCGTCAATTTTGGCTCTCTAGTTTATTAACTATGGTCCTCTAAAGATTAGTAAAACATGTATTAATACATATATTACTTTTGAGTTAAATAATTGGTACTCCTGCATGTTTAAAAATTTTGAAATTGTTATAAAAAAATTGCCTGTTAAAAATGAAGAAACACGTCTTTTTTCGTTTTAACGAAATTCCATATCATCGTTCCATAATCGTTAAAAAAAACCCGCGTACAATAAGATACTCCCTGTATATGCCAACTATAATATATCTATGGCTATGACTTAAGGTGGGTTTCCACAACATACGCGTACGTTTAAGTGCATATATTGACCGGATACGTTCGCTATGGACGGTCTCACAAACGTTTCCCATCGGTTGATCGGTTAGCATTGGTAACATATTAGTTACCTCGTATCTTCTTATGTTATCAAAATTGTTATCAATACAGAGCCGTGTACACTTGAAAAGTTGAACTGGATCCAACTTCATGGTATCATGGTCAAGCCTGTGGTAAGAACGTATAACACTCTGGTATACCAAGAGCTTACCATGCATACCAACCAATCACAGAAAAGTATTTTTATGCACGTACACTCACAAGTATCTAGTGGAAACCCACCTTTAGTCACATTTCTATCCCAGTTTATCCATGTTCCATATTTTATTATTTTATTGGTTTGGTAATAATTAACTTTGTATGATATTATTTAATATCTCGTGTTTTGTTCTATAACAAAAACATTTGTATTTCATTTTATATTTTAGGGATGTACTAAAAAGCATTTAATTTTTCTTGCTCTTGGTATTTTATACAATTAACATTTTGTATAGGTATCTATTAAAAACGACAACTTTACTGTCTCATTACATTTTTCATAAAGATAAGACCAATTAAATTTATATTATATTATCTTCTTTATATTTCGTTAAACATTATTTTAAAGTTCTCTCTCAATAAAATATACAATTTAATTATTTGTTGGGTTACAAAAAATAAACAAATAAACAACACAATTCTATAATATCATATTCATAGTAATTTAATTTAATTTGTTTTACAATATTATTTCAATATTTCACTTTCATAATTCATTTTAAATAATTTTAATTCTTTAAATATTCATATCCTTATTTTTAACTCATTACAATTTGAATTTAAAAATGTTAAGTGAAATAATTAATATTTTTATTTTAAGAGCCTTAATTTTAATTTTTACAATTCAAGCACTGTGTATGGCATAAGTCTACGTATGATACTGATCGGTATCGGTATTTTATGGTAGACACAAATATCATTAATAGAAAACATATTCATACTAGCTACTCCATAAAAATGTATTTTATTACTTACATTTTACAAATTTTAATTTATTTCTGAAATATTTTTTACGAAACATAAAAAAATATTTTTGGGTGTGAGACTTTGCCGCCAATGCACCTTCTATATTTGTACCTATATAGCTATATTATGCCATTATAGTGTTATCTACATTATAGTTCAAAGTATTTCAAACAATATTTCTAAAAAAAATAACTACAGTTGTGTATACATTTTAATCAATTTTAATAAAATTAAAGTTTTTAAACTTGTATCATAATATAATTTATTTAGTTGATCATTTTCAAAGATTAGAAAAATGTTAAAAGTGTTAAAGTGTTACTGTGTAGTGTTTTAACAGTTACACACACACACACACACACACACACACACACACAGCAAAAGATATTCAATATGTTTAAGCTTAATGTCCCTTCCCTATATCCGGGTCAACGTCGACGACGTAGTATTTGCTCATCCAGTTCTCCACTCTCTTCCTAGAGTCATGCACTGCCCCAGGTGACATTTTAGACTTGCCAAAGTCCAGGTTTTTGTTGGCGGCACAGTAGGGCTGCGCCACCGCGAACTCCTCGGTGTCCTGTCCGTAAAGCGCACCTTCCAGGCACTTCCTGAGCAACTGGGCAGATGGACTTCCACTCTGGTCCGATTGGACAACCGTATAGTCGCCGAGGATAAGTAGTTTTCGGTTTTTCGACGTCTCAGAGGCAAACCGGCCGACGCCAAGTGGCGGATACACCACGGCCGCGTCTCCGAGCGCTTCGTCCCAGTGCTCATACTGGTCAGAGGTGGTTAGTGATAAGTTCGTTTTCATTGCCGCCACAGCCGCTTCGTAGGACGATGAAAATCCCGTTGCTTCACAATCTCTTAGATCGGCTTCATTGTGTTCAGCCAAAATCCGTTTCACGTCCTCGTCGTAGCTGCAGTCATCTTCGTCACCCGACGATGAACACGAAAATGCTCCTTTACTGTAGATTGACACATACTTAAGACACTCTCGCACTTGGTCTGGATATTCCACTGTATCGCTGACTGTAGATCCCGACGACGACATGGTGACGTAACGACTAACACGCGACGTTAATATCCGTTGTCAGGACCCCAACATAAAGTGGTGGTCTTTCAACGTTACGTTTGTATCCATGGTGACAACAACTATGGTGTGCGTGTAATAATTTGCTATCGTCGGCTGGCGATCGGCTAGTTAGGTTCAATATCCAATTTAAATTATATGACATGGAAGCCTAGATCAAAAATTATAGTTTTGAAGACCCAGTACAAAAATATATTTAAAGTCCCTCATCATTCCGAAGGCATAGTAATATAGGCGTATTAATATAGTAATATTTCCTTATATTACATTAAATATTATACGTTAGAGTAAACTTAATTTTTATACTTTATTATAACACATACAGCCATACAGGTATACATAAATTATTCATCTATTTATGTTGTATATTTTTGTGAATTCTATGAGCCACTACTTAGTTCTATATGAGAAACAAATAGTGTTGATATTTTTGGAAGGCAGCTCGTATATATAATTATGAACTACCAGATCATTCTAGCCAACTAGTGTTTATATCTACTATATAGGAACGGAGGCAATTCGTATATTTTCAGAGACAACTATAGTATGCACCTTGAAATTTGTATGTTCGTTGGAGAACAAATATACCTAATCTATTTCAATTTACAAGTTGAACCTAAAACTATTTTACAAATTCCAGAGGTTGATGAACCCGAACATTGCAGAGTTGGGCAAAATTTTATCTAGATAATCATTCGAATAAAAGTGTATTCGAATAATTTCAAAACATTATTATACTATTATACTAGTACAAAATATATGTATTATAGAATGATTATAACTCTAGTAGTCTACAATCTACATGTATATAGTATGTACTATGTACTAGAGTAGTAACTATTTATCAATATTGAAGACGTACCTTGTAAATAGTCCAGTTTCAGTTTTATTTACTATTGTTTATGATTGTTGTAATTATTACGAAATATTGTGTATTATTTTGCTTGCACTTTAGCGAAATACACCTAAGTTTTTTTTACATTAGTTCGAAGGTAAATCAGTATTGGTGTAGGTATTTCGCTTTGTGAACTAATTCTACGTGGATGGGCATTGAGTAATCCTCCTGAGGTGGTTTTTATATAGCACTTGGTATATTTTTTAGCGTGGTAAACTATTCTCAAAACTTAATTTCATGATAACTTTTCTGATATCTCAAAAAAAAATCTCTGAAACATTCGTCAAAATTGGTCTAGTAGTTTTTGAGTCCATAATCTAAAACCGTATAGACATTGCCTTTTGTTGCAAATGTCCATAACAAATAAATAATAATACATTTAATATTATTTTATTTTATTTTAAAATAACCCAAAATAGGAATGCATGACGGATGCTAATCTCTATCTATTTTTGTTTTATAATTTTATATCTGGCAACCCTATATATAATTATAATATAAACAAAAATATATTCAATTTTTGTGAGCCAAAACGAAATTCATATGTCAGCCATCCTATTGGGATTGAAAAACGAAACAACGAAACAAACATATAGTGCTAATTGGTTCAGAAGTTTCCAAGTCAATACGCCTCATACAAATATACATCAATTTATATACATAAGTTTAGCTGTATCTAGAATTAAGTAACTCCACTGTAGAATTTAAAACGACCGTGGACACTTGATCAAGTATCTAACTCCTCCCTCTTTTTACGTTGTAAATATTTTGGAATTTTTTGGAATAATCACTTAATAATTAATTAAATTTTGATTAACATGCCATTTTTATTTTCCTGCCACCATCAACAAAATACATATTAATATAATGTATCTCGAACTTTTAATTCCTGCAAAAGTAATATTTTTAAAAACAAAAAGATACATAAGTTAAAAAATAATTAAGTTATAAGTGTCAATTTTCTTTTATTATACAATAGGTCTTAAATTAAAATATTATATGGTAATAAAATTAGTGATTAATTTAATAAGTTAAAATATATTTCAATATAATATACAATTATAATAAGTAACTTTAATGTAAGGTTCAAAGTGAATACTATATGAGTTACATGTTTAAATACTTAGGAAACTCTTATATACAAATATTGTACATAATAAAAATATATTATATGCGTGATTTATAGCTATAAAATATATGTTATTTTATTTATTTTTAGAAATTTAAAAACAAATATTTGTTAATCTTTATACGTAATATAATTAAAATTTGTTTAATTCAATGCCGACTTACACTACACAAGAAATGAACAGATTTACTGTTTTTAGTTAGGTACTTCAAAGCTCAAGTTAAACATGTCATTACTTACGATTAATAATGCAATAGAAATAGGGCAATACAATATAAATTGGAAAAACCCTAGCTTTGCACCGGGCTACAAAGTGTTCCTTAAAAAATAAGTCAATACGCTAATCTACACAACGTTCGAAAGCTTGCAGGAGTACACCGCGTAGTCTGAACTCCGAAGAATAATTTTACTGGGAATCAATAATAATTATTAATTAAATATAATATACATTGTAAGAATAAGGGAACTATAATACCTAATAAGAGATCGTTGTAATTGAAACAATGATAATATTATTATATGGATTAAAATTATTAAAATTATTCAATATTGGTTTTGACGTCTCGCGAGCGATCTAAAAGTTTTGTATATGCTGCATAATATTTAAAAATATTGTAGATTACGAAAACGACGAGGGATATGAAAGCGATCGCGAAACCTATCACGTCCAACAGGTAATATTGATACCACGGCAGATTTAATGCTCGAGACTGCAAGTGCGGAGCTCCACGGTGACGTAGGACGTACTCTGTCCAGTAAACAACCAACGATTCCGGCGACATGGGTCGATCTTTGAATATTTTCATGGCGTTTTTAGCGCTCTCTGAGTATCTACAGGTACATATTATAATAATACAAATTACAATAATTGGGATTCATGCAAATGCATATTATTATATTATATTTGACGTCTATCGATTCTGAATAAGAATTATTACGTTTGATAATTTGTAAAATATTCAAAAATGCTAAAATTATTTTTACAATAGTTTTGCATTTATCTGACTTGGAAGAACATTAATTGCATATTTCTGAAAATAACATGAAAAGTTGCATGTACTATAATCATTATCATTTGAGAAAACGGTTTGTTAAATCGTTTTTAAAAATACAAATAATAACAGATTACAAGACACCAATAGATTCGTAAAAGCCAAAGATGTTTTAAAATTGTAAATTAATAAGCCCATGTTTTATTAATATTGTGTCTGATCCCAGATCACTTAGCTTACAAGTGGGTCACTGTAATGTATGGTGTTAAATTTGAATTTAATGATGTAATATCGTTGTATACGAAAAACGAATCTGAGCGAAAACGGTTTGTAAGCCTAGGATATTTTATATTTATTTTACATTAAGTATTATTATTATTACGGTAGCTGGTAAGTTGAATTAATATCTAATATATTATCATATTATTATATGCATATTATCATATACAATTAATATTTAATATTATTTGTATATTATCATATACTTCAGAAATTTCAAGCTTTTCAACAGAAAATCGATCATCGTCGTTTAAATATCTGATTTCATCTAAATTTGAACTTCAAAAAACTATTAAAAATCTGTGTTTATATATATATATATACAGTATGAACGTATTACGTGGAACCTTGTTTTAAAATTTTAAACCTTAGCTATACTTAAACATCGAACATTTTATACAATTTTAACTGTAAAATAATTTGTAAATATTCAATTTAATAAATGTTGTCAAATTTTTAACTTAAAATGTTTAAGAACAATTTAAAACTAGCCTATTTTTTTAAAATATTTTTCAACTGATATTGTAAAAATGTGTGAGGCGCCTTGAATTAAATGCTCAAGTTTTCTGATCTTACGAATACAATTTTATTGACATTAAAAAAAAAAAAAAGTTACTGAAGTGGAAAATCAAAATATTATTTCGGTTACTTTTCGTGTACAGACAAAAATAAATAACATAATATTGTAGAATCAATAAGTTCATATCTACACTCAGAATCTAAAATCGTTCTCCGCAATCGTTTGAAAAAAGTTATAAAATATTATTTCTTTGATCTGCTGACCATCGTTCGTAATCGCGTGTTATCAAAAAGTGTTCGCAATCTCGTGTAACACAGTTAATGTTTGCCTTGTTATCACTTTCCGATTACAATAGGTAGCGATTATAATATTCATACAAGTATACTATATGTAATAAATGTAAGGCGTTTATTTTACTTATTTGAATATTTCAATGTTTTTATAGTTTTGTATTTTAAATATAATTTTTTTCCTAGTTATATATATTATAATTAATTGATAGATTTGAAATTGACATGGGGTCCACATTAAAATCTACAGTGGGCCCGGGACTGCCCCTACTTAAAATGTTTCCAAATGTTTATATTATCATTTTATTCACGTGGTATAATTTTTAAAATATTTGGACCCTTTTTGAGCTATACATAGACATTGCACATTTTAGATTCAGAGCGGAGCCAGGAAGCTAGTGGTTTTACAATGGTGATTATTTTTTTAATTTTCTTATCCTGTATACACAATTTCTACCAGAAGGAGTGGTTTGATTTCAACATATATTATCTTATCTTTTAGAAAATTGGATCAAGTTGGTACTTTAAAAATGTCATTTTTCGATTTTCTTAATAATTATTTAATGTTGCTGGAAAACCACCGATTTTATTTTTTAATGTATTGTGTATCGCCATAGAAACGAATAAAAAATTATAATATTATAATATCAATTTAATTTACAGCCTATAATAAATAATCTATATCTATATTATACTATTATAATATAAATAGGATTCATTAGTTACCGTTGTCGAAAATAATCTCTGGAACTACTGAACCGATTTAGAAAATTCTTTCACAAATAGAAATCCACGTTATTTGAGTGTCATAGGCTAATTTAAAAAGGGAATTGATCACTCCCGGTAGGTGCTAAAACATGAATTTTGAGATTTACGATAGACATTTTTGTTTATTAATGGTTGCTATTGGTTGTAGTAGTTGAAATAATATTTATTATTATTAATTTTTTTTTTAGTTTGAATATTAATGGGAGCGTTCAATCGCTTCTTTTAAATCAGTCGAAGTTACTAACAGACGAGTACATCCACTTGCGTAACATCATCACTACTGAAGGAGACGAGGCCAACATTAGTCGTTTGACCATTCTCTCAGCCCATTCTTTATATTTTGAAAAATGAATGGTTGTGTGTAGATTAGACCTGTGTTTAGAAGATTGGTTAATTTAAAAAGGGTTAAATTTGTTTTTTTTATTCATCAGATTTTAGTACGTTTAGGTTAGGATTTTGTATTAATTGATTATATTAATCCGCCGTAGGTGGAATTAAGTAAAAACGATAAACTTGGTATAACTTTGGGTCTTTGATACTCTAGAGTTAAATCATACACTTACAGCACGGGGTCCGCGATCTACCGCAGGAAGATTGCCAACCTGATAATATACTGCTGCGAATCAGAATTTTTTATTCCGGGCAACGGAAAAGTTAAGATAAGATTTGAACACCATAAACCGAATATTAAATAACGAATTGAACAAATTTTGAGTCATAAAGAGTTGGTACATTTAACAGGCAACGAAGTGCACTAGATCAGCTAGTAACAATATAAAATATCCAGGCTGACAAAGCGTCTCCGCTCAGAGTCGTTTTTCTTATACAATTATATATTATATCATTGAATTTAAGTTTAATATAGTCCATTACACATTGACCCCCTAGTAACCTACTGTACAGCAGAGCGACATCCACTTACCCGCTTTTTATTTCTATTTATGTGGATAAAAAACCATTTTACTCGGTCAAAAATCTTGAAAATTTAATACTAGGTTCCTCACAAGTTGTCTATTTATATGCATTTGAAGTTCACATTATGACGAGATTAGATTTTTAAAAGATAAATAACACTTGACATTTATACGTAACGCTTTGGCGGTAGGTAAGCGATATTTTTGTCATGTTTTAGTAAAATGTACGTTCAAATTTTTAGGTGAGCCTATCATAGAATAGGCAACATAATTTACTTTGAAAAACCAAGGTTTTTCCAAATAAATCTCCGCTGCCTCTATGTTTATATCAAGTTTCTATGAACAACAATTATATCCTATCATAGGACTTACTCAGCAGAGCAGTTACCGATGCTATTTCCCCCTTTTTTAATTTTAAATTTGTAAATTATTTTTATTACAGAAACATGCAGAGGTTTGTAAGTTTAATTTATCGTGGACGTTTTTTTAATATTTTTTCCACTAGTACGTTTCTATAATTACTTTTGGTTGTTGAGTAGTTCCAAGAGGTTGTTTAAGAATGAGTCTTCGGTGACGGACAGTAGGTCCATCGAAATAGCCATGCCGGCGTTGACCAGGTTGTCAATGTTTCTCGGTTGGTCGCCTACCAAAGGAAATCCGAGGACCGGGACACCGGCGTCCACGGCTTCGTATAGCCCAGAAATACCTCCGTGGCTGATGAACAGTTTCACATTGGGGTGCACTGCAACGACGATTATGAAAATAGTATTAAAAGTGTAAAAGGTTTTATTATTTGTGACCTTGGTGATTTGAGTTTATGTGATAAATGATAATGATATCATGAAAATTAAATTATATATTCTAATATTTACAAAGTATATCGCGTTGGGGAAGCCATTGTTTCGTCATCATATTTTTTGGTTTGTCTTCCATTTCATCTTCGTATTTCAACAACACTCTTTGCGGAACTCGTGCGAGCGCCTTTATCAACGCTTTTTTTACGCTTTCCGGTATTGTAGACATTTTCACTGTTGAACCAAAACTGAAATAAATTACTCCATGAGGCGATTGTTCGATGAATTCTAATACATCCTGAAATCAAAAAATTATATTTATTTATTAAAAATGTAAAGTAAAACAATCTGTCAACCAACATAGGTATTGCTGTCTAGGATAATTATGATGATATTACACAATAAATTGTGAGAGGCATGGGATGGCGTGAAGACGATGTCACCCTTCTGTTCATATCATGTTTAAATAATTTTTTAAATAAAAATGTACTTACATTATTATACAATTTACAACTATAGCTATGACGTGCAGCTTAAAAAATAATATCAAGTCAATTAGTTTACTTATTTAAATTTATAAAAATGAAATATATTTAATTATTATTTTAAGTTTAACTATGTTTGTATATGTTAGCGGTAATGTATGTAATACGTTATTTTATTAAATAACTAGTTATTCTATAAAATTCCTAAATATGTTCGTTAATATATAAATTACATGGTTTTACTAGTTAATACATAAAATACCGATTGGGTTTTCGTTAATGTATGAAATTTATATCATTAGGTAGATGACCGGGACTGGTTTAGATAACATACAAAATTTGTTACCGTTGTTGTTATTAATAAAAATAATAAAACAAGATAGTATTGAACCACACCATTTGGCATAGGCTAGACTTATTCGTGTTACAGTGTACTGCGAGTTTACTTACTAGTTAGTTTAATCATTTTTAGTGTTGTATAGTGTAATAACTAATAAGTGTACTTTAAAATGAAAACCAAATTTGATACAATTATAAAAAATACAACAACAGAGCGTAATAACAGCACGTTTTTGCTAAAAGAAAAATATGATTTCTTAATAAGTGAAATGAAACGTATTAAAACAGGAAAAAAAAGAATTTTTGTTTTATTTATTTATTAATAATTCAAATAATTTTGTTTAGGAACTAATACGGTATACTAAAACAACTTTACGCAAGGTCACAATTTAGTTTATGCACAGAAAAGTTTATTACGCTTAGTGAGGAAAGCATCCGATCAATTGGTAATGGAAAAGGGTTTTTAAATGTACATGCCAACAAAAGTGCACCACAAAACGGTGCATATGTTTAAAAAATAATTTACTTTGAAATTCTAAATGCCACCCAAAAAGTTCCTGTACTAATAAATAATTGTAAATTAAAAAAAAAAATTATACAAATACATTGACGTGAAAAAAAATTAATATTAATATTTTATATAATAATGTAAAGTGTGTTTCAGTGTTTGACTTATACTATAACATTTGATTTTTTAATTTGTAAATTGATTAAGATTTTAATAATTATTCTAATAAATTGATGTGAAATAAATTAATATTAATTTTTTATATAATATTGTCAGGCTTGTTTGACTTAATACTATAATATTTGATTTTGTTTGTAACTTGTAATTTGATTAAAACTTTTATTCAATAATAGTTTTAAATACATTAACTAAACCCTTATTGTTAGTTTATAAAATATCTATTTGGTATGTAGAATAACTAGTTGAAGTATATATTTATGGATTCATTCAATACATTAACTGAAAGTACCCGTAATTCTATAAAATAACTAGTTATTCTATAGAATTACGGAATTTCATACATTAACGCTAACATATATAAGTAGAAGCAATTATTATATTCTGTGGTACAAGTACGTATAGAATAGATAACACTGATATTTGAAAACTGAAGTTCCTCTCTATGTTCTCCAAATTAATTTTATTTTAATCTTGGTATCCATATTTTAAATAAATTGGATGTTTGAAAATTGAAAATTTAAGGTTACAATATAATATATCGGTTAACTTTTATATACATAATTTAAAAAGTTTTAATTATAGTCAGTATAGTCGTTATATAGTGTAGTGTCTATAGTCTGTTGTTATATTTAATAGAAAAAATAATTTCAGAATAAAATTAATTTATTAATAATATTTAATATTTATATCAACTCTAAATTATCGTAATGATATAATAATGTAGTACCTATACCGGATTGTGAACACCGAACACTGTTTTTGCAATTTTTTTACTTATGTATTTTTATTTATGCTGAAAACAATTTTACCATTCAGTATTTGATGGTAGTATTTAATTAGGTACATGTGACGATTTTCAGACGAAAGAATACAAAACTTTTAGACATAAAGACATACCTACCTAGTTAATTATTTAGTTGCGTCAACAATATGACGCAATCACGCAGTTTAGTGGAATCAAAAGTTTAAAAAAAAATACCTACGTATCTGAAAATTATTTCAGTATTATTTATCAGGGTATTATTGTAATGGGTATGCTAAAATATGTGGTTAAGTAAATCGTTAAAAAAGAGATTGCTCTTAAAACATATTAATGTACCTACAATTCACGAACTCTACTGATAATAAATATAATAATATTATCATTGATCATACATTTTTATAGTTCTTTACTCACTTTTTGCAAACTCTTGGCCACTTTCAGATGTATTCCACCCACGTCGACAACGTTCCTGGGCACCGGACTCGGGGCGTCGCTTATGAAATGCCTGTTGACGAACACCAAAGACGGTGGCACGGGATCGAGTAGATCGTACTCCTTGGGCGGTTCGGTGTACTTGAGCACGATCTCCTTGTACCGCTGCAAGGCTGAACCGCAGACCAGTAACGCCACGTTGCTCAGCCTTTCCACGAACGTCTCGGGGACGGCGTGCACGGTCATCAGGTTGGAAACGGCGGCGGGGTTGGACACGTGACCGGTGATGGCGTGCTCCATGAACGCGATCAGCGGCAGTGGCGTGACATAGATGAGCGGCAACCCGAGCCGAGCGGCCGCGTACGACATGCACTCGGACCAAAACGATTCGATGAGCACAGCATCGAAGCCAGCGGTCGACGACCGTGGTCGGTCCTGCAGCAGTTTTCTCATCTCGTCGCTGCCGTAGATCACGTCGCACTGCGACCGACCCATTTCCACGAAAGCGCCGTACGTCCAGAACGGGTTGCTGAAGTGGTCCAAGAGCCCGGCCAGGTCCATGTCCACGCCCACCGGAAACCTCTGGATATGTCCACTTCCGTGTAATTGTTGTCACCGGTCCAAGACCCCCCAACAACGGCGTGAACGCGGTGACCGTGTGCCCGTTGTCCACCAGTGCCCTAATAATGCCACTCATAAAGTTCCAGTGGCTCCTGCCGCCCACCGTCTCCACGGCCAATATCCTCGCGCATCCCGCGGGAACGGGCCCCGGCCACACGGCCAACGCAAACATCATCACCGCAGCAGCGCTCGATACCAAAGGCATTTCGGTGCGCATCATAGCTGCAGTAGTACGCCCCGTATATATAACGTGAGCTCGATTTCCGGCGAGAAATTAAAAAGAAAATCGCAATAGTCGGCGAGGTGAGTACAATAATATTTTCCTGTTGCGATCGATAATGCGTATATGTTTAACGGCACGTTGCGATCGGTTTTGTGGTGTGCGAATCGTACGAGGGCGCCGTTTTTAAATCGGTCGTTTATTTAATATTAGAAATTGCCATCATCGGCCCGACGCTGTTAATCTATTGAATCATAATATGTTGTAGCTGTAGTACGCACTTTTATAACACTTCAGGCGGAGATAAGAGCATGAAATATTGTTGCAATTTTCGAACACTCAAAGTTCGAGTTTTTTTTACACTTATATATTACGAATTTATGAATTGCTGGTATTATAAATATAGGCTTATCTTTTTATGCTAAAATTGCGGTCATTGAACTCTTTAACATGGATAACAGATCGTGGAAAATAACGCGGTAGATATAAGTGTTTTGATATAGTGTTTGTTTTGTTCTTCGTGCGTCTCGGACTACATTCAATTAAACTGTTATATAATTTATATTTTAAGTGATAAAGAGTGATACTTGTTGTTGTCGTTATACTTATTAAGAGTGCCTATCAAAAGAACGGAAACTAATGATTTTCGTCTTTCGAAATGTTTGAAATATATTTAGAACAGTCTGAACACGTTGGATTACATACTAACACAGTTATATAATAATAATGCATAGTATATAGTATATTCTAGTGTAGGTATTTAAATTTGAAGTTTTATTTTAAAAAATAACATTATTTTTCAATAGTTTTTGTTAGATGACTATTTTGGTATGGGTGTCTGTAGAGATTGATACTGATCGACACACTAATCAATCACATACATATTTATGGGCCCACTACGTAATGATATACTATTATATAACAATCTTATAAATCATATACTTATTTTGTACATTTTTGGTTTAAGAAATTTTTTTAATTTTTAATTTTCAAAAATGTTAACATTTTTTGAAGAACATTTTTTAACATAAGCAAATGTCTACATTATATTAATCATTTTAAATTTATTTTTATAAATTGAATAGAAGTTAAAAAGACGAATCTTTAATACAATAATAAAAACTGAAATTCAGTGGGCCACATTAATTATTAACTACCTACCTACTTATATTATGATTGTTTTTTAAGTCATTACTTTTCGTAAATATTATAATTTTTCAATGTACTATATTAGTATGTTTTATTGTTATATAATATTAACAGGGCCTAAAGATATATTATCACTAAGTACAATAAAAATAATACATTTTTTATCTTTAGTATAGTTTCGAACTACTCCGTTTAAATTTTAAATCGCAATAGACAATAATACATACCATAATATAGAATTATAATCTTGTGAATTGGGCTCGGAAGTTGTTGCAATTTGCATCTTTTTGTAGAATAATAGATTTATTGCTAATCGAGTTAGAAAATAGTTATAAACAATGCGAATAAAAAATAAAGCTTATAGAGCATATTCTTTGATTTTGATTCTAAACGCTCCGAAGAATGAATTGATTTTACAGTGGTTTTTTTTTCTGTCTGCCATTACCTTATGAGGCAGTAAATATGATTTGAGTTTTATACAGTTTATAAAATTTTATAAAGTTTATAAAATGCTTTGAAATTATTGTCAGCATCTTTCATAGTTGGAAAATGTATCTAGTTAGTACATATTTGGAGGGAATGGATCAAAAATAAAAATGTTCAGTAGTTTTCAAAAGCGAAAGGAAAAACAAAAAAATAATTAGTTAAGAATAAACGGAAAATTTTACGCAAAACAGGTTTTTGACATTTTGTTGTTTTGTAGTTACTCAAAAACGTTATAAACATAACCATAGATTTGAAATATTTACAATACCAATTTACATTTTTTAAAAATTCGTGAATTTTAAACTATAATATTACATATACATGTATACATTATACATTAATTTTGAGAGATCATAATTTTTATACTGTAAGAGTATAACTATACAGTATACAGACACATCATCAAATCAATTTAACCTACCTAAGAATAAATTAACTCTGGGATAGTATATATAATTTTATAAAATATTTATGTAAAAAAAATGACTGCATATTTTTACTTTTTTAATCGCAAAAATATCAAGTACTTTTTTAAGAGTATTAAGTTCCGATAGCTCTACATATGAGCTAAAACTTAATTGAAGTATATTTTGACTCCAATTGGTTTTTCTGCAAATTTCGTTGATTTGACCGTTGAAAAATGTCAACATTTTAAAATCATAATTACAGACTATAGTCTACTATATAGGTATATCAGATATTATACTATATGATATTATCATCAGATACTTAATAATATAATTATTACCGTATGTGTTATCATATCGCATATAGTGCTGTAGTGTATAGGTACTATAGCTTTATCATTTAAAGCTCATATTACGGTCATTGAACCCATGGTGAAATACCATTGACCTTATATAGTAGTACTATAGTAGGTACTTCACTTAAATCCATGCAATATTAATAATAATATTGGTTATCAAAAGTGCTGTTATTGGTTAAAAATATAGCTAAGAAACGACCGTCACGCGAAAATCACGTACACTACGGTACGATTTTTTTGTTTAAATACTTGTATAGATATTAGGTGCCTACTCAAAATCTCAATACATTTGTATAAAATAAATGATTCAAGTATTGTGTATTTGTGTGTTAAATAATAAATCACAGGGTCATTCAACCGTAATGGGGATAGGTGGATAGGTATATTTTCTATAACTATTTCAAACGCATACATCAGAAAGTAAATTATGACTACTTACTATAGGTACTTACCTATAATATTATGGTCCATATGGATAATAAATAATGATATACAAACAGTGGCGTATTTTGGGTGATTTATCGGGAGGTGTCCAACGTTTATTGACCTCACAAACAACATTTTTAGAATTATTAACTTACTAATATTTTTTAGATTCTGAGTGAAATGATGAATTTATTGATTTTACAATGATGTGTGTTTTTTTTTTATTTTTTTATTTCTATTTATTTTTATTTATTTTTTTTCTTTTTTTTTTGTGTCTGTCATCACGCTTTAGGACAGTGAAAGTGCTTGGATTTTTCTTCAACGGTAGCTTTTCTGATAGGAAAGTGAATCTAGTTGGTACTTTAGGGGGTCAAAAGTGAAAATTTCCCAGTAGTTTCAAAAGCGGCGTGAAAACAATATAAAAAAAAGGAAAACGGGAATATTTCTATTTTTTATTTTTAATCGATTTTGGTTTTTGGTACAACTCTTAAACAAATGACCGTAGGTACATGAAATTTTGACTGAATATTTATATTAGCATTTACTATACACGATAACATTTCAAACTGTTTGAACTGTTTTGGCCATTTTCATTTTCCTTTTTTTTAGTTTTTTTTCTAAAAATATCAATAAAATTGTATTTGTTGGTAAAAAAAACTTGAAAATTTAATACAAGGCTCCTACTATATTGTTACAATGGCATTTGAAATGTATTAAAATCCTTGTCACAGTTTTTTTTTATAAGCTTTTAAAGACCAACAATTGACAAAATATGAAAAAATCACGAAAATTAGCAAATCTTTTGAGTTAAGAATTCATAAAAAATTTTTTTTTTAAATCTAAGATTTTAAAATGTGATACAAGATTCCTTATAAGATTACCTGCCTTTATCAAGAAATAAATGTCTATAAGAAAGTCAAATAAAATTTTTAAAAGCGTTTGAAATTCAAATTTTTACAATATTGGATCCCTATTCATTCGATTTTCATTGTAGCGATTTCCTTATTTTGTTGTAATTCAAAAACAAATAACTGTAGATACACGAAAATTTCACTGAATGTTTATATAAGAATTTCCTAGACACCATAACAATATTTTGACTCTTTTTGAGCTGTTTAAGGAAATTTTCAGTTTTCAATTATTTTAGATTTTTTTTCTATAAATATCAATAAAGTTTTATCGGTTGGGGAAAAAAGTGTAAACATTTAATACAAGGCTCCTGATATATTTTTACAATATCAGTTGAAAAATATTGAAAATATATAGGCACAATTTATTTTTCTAATCATTTTAAAGATCGAATTTTGACCAAATTTATCAAATTTAAAATTGAATAATTATTTTGTAGTTAATAATTTATAAAATGTTCAACTTTTATATCTAAGGATTGCAAATTTAAAACAAGATTCCACATAAGTAGTTAATTCTGTTACCAAAAAATCTCAAAAATACATACGCACAGTTTATTTTTATAGTCATTTTAAGTTCAAATTTGGATGAAATTACATAAAAAAAACCCATTTTAGTTATTTCGTTGTGATTGTATAATATTATTTGGGGTACTTACTTGAAATTTCTGAAGTACACTATTATATATCTATGATAGTATCAGGGTGTACCTATAATAGGTCAATTTTTTATAATACCATAGATAAGTATATAATATGCCTTATACCAGTTATACCTAGACTGACATACCGTCTCCGCTCAGAATCGTTTTTCTTATACAATGATATTATATCATTGAATTCAAATTTAATATCATCCATTAAAAAGTGACCTACTTATAACCTACTGTATATTAGAGCACCTTTTTTATGTTGTAATATAAATTATATTGAATCTGTATTGAATATCGATATTTGTTTCCGATTATTTCATTTTACTGTAATATAATAGCGTTCGTCCCCAATGTGTCAATAATTATATAATTTATTTGAATAAATAATTACTATTACGTTATTCAATTATCACCTGGTACAGTGGTCCAAAGTGGTCCAAAGTGGTCGAAAAAATGAATGACAAATTGACAAATAATCCCGGGCGCCAGTATTTTAGGGGCACCAACATTTTGTGGTCAGAAATTTGTTTACTTCTGAATTATTAAAATTTTATAATTTTAATATTTAGTATAATTATAAAATTAAATTGCTCAATTTTTATTTTATATGTC